ACAGAAGAGTGTTTCAAAGATGTAAGAGACAAACACAAAGGTAGATAAAAGGTGAGGTGAGTACTGTGAAAATAGTCGAATATGGCATAGAGTGAGGTGATGGTAGTTTGAAGTGAGAAGTCAACTGCCAGTCAATAGATTTTTTTGCCGTATGAATATACGTTGCCCAGGGTGCACCACGTGGAGGTAAGTCTATCGCACACCCCCATTATGATGTTAATTTATGAGAATTAGTAATGATCAGTCTTTTATTTTTAATGCCATAAACTACGTTTTTTAATGTTAAAATATTTTGTGTGATGTTCTGCAGTTGATCAGGTCCCAGACACTAATACAGATAAAACCTGTCCACTATCACGATCTGTTTCTGTTATGTAAAATCTAGTTAGAGAAATTGGGTCGCTTCCTCCCGAATTGCGTTTATTCGGCAAAGATTGAATCGATAATTCTTTTCTTTGATTTAAGTTGAATTTCTCTTGTCAGACAACGTATCAAACCATGAATGATCTCGCATCGCTATGACCACGCCGGTAGTGCTTGAGTGATATTTGTGCCGTGGCGTTAGTATTGTTTTTCCAAGTCATAATTTTTCCCTCCTAACTATTGGTCTTGAGAAGTGCAATGTAGAAAATGAGGTGGCTTCTCCATATAAATTTCTGTAAAATTGTTTAATTTGACCCAGCCCCTAATTTGCGATTAATCCTCTTAATACGCATATTGAGGTCTAATTTTGTCTTCTTCCTATTTTGAGTTTGATGCCGTTTCTGTTAGAAGAGTGTGCTTCCATCTGGACTGCTTTGTCATTTGTATAATGCCCAAATGCTAGTGCCTCGATAAATTTCTTTGGATTTTATTTCTGTATTGTACAAAAGTTATGTTTTTAGATGTTGTATCGAATGTCAAGAGTAGATTGGCTTTATTTGTTGATACAATTTAAACGAGTAATTATTATTCCATTTCTGGCCACAATTGACATTTAAACTGAATTCAATTAATTTTCGTCATCCTATCGAGCTTTAAATTAACTACACCTTTTCTCTTGTTCCTTGTTCTACCTTTTCTGAGTTTTGAATCGACTTAGTACCAGGTGATATTTCAAATTCTTCATCCTCTAACGGACTCTCAAGTGAGTTGGTGCTAAGCATAGGTAATTTATAATCATTTGTAATTTCTAAAAATCATCTCTTCAAAGTACAAATATTTGCTACTCAGTTTTTTTTCTGAATTGATATATATATCTCGCTATTTATTCTATCTTAAAGTATATTCAAAATTTGCATGCTCTCTGGATTTTGTTAGCGGTTTGTTTGTTCGTTGTTGACTACGTTTAAAATACCCGATTTGAGTTGAGGTAAGACAATCTGAAGTTACTTTTTTTGAAAAACTCACACATTGTATACTCCCTTTGACCAATGCGTTTAGAATTCCAAGTCATTAATGAGGCAAGGTGAAATTTTTTAGGATATGAGATTTACACTTTGCGCCTAATATGCCATCATGGCTACAAATTGGTTAATTACTGGAAACGATATAGCTAAATATTTTCTTGGTGTTCGCATATAATTGAATGAATAGTTAATCTTTGAATTTTGCTGGACGGAGTTTGTGGAAACATCTTTTCAAACTGCAGAATATGTTACAACTTCCATATTAATTAGGAGCTATTAAAGTAATTTATTATTCCACCAGTGGATTTTAATTTATGAATTGCTTAGCCCGTTTTCTCTGCGGACCCTATTTTCATCAGGTGTATCAGTAAAATAAAATAACTGCCTCTATTGATCTTTTCTACTTTAGACCTTGATTAAAAAAATGGAGGGTAAGGTGCGCGAACTTTCTCTTCACGTTTACGGTTGTCGGGTAATTCAAAAAGCAATTGAGACTTTCGACGAAGAAACCCAGCTGAACATAATGAAGGAGCTCAAAGACTCTGTTCTTGAGTGTGTCAAGGACCAAAACGGTAACCACGTAGTGCAAAAGTGCATCGAACGGGTTCCACCTCAACATCTCCAATTTATTGTAGATGCCTACAAGGGAAATGTGAGTTTTTGCAACTTTTCTTGTAATCAGTTTTTTATAATTTTATAACTTGATTATAAGGTCATGTTTTACATGATTAAATTTATATAAACTTATTGTATATTGAGCAGTACATTTTTGGCGCAGCTATGCATGTGTGCATGTATCAAGCACTATCGTTCGTCCCCTTACCTTCTTTGCCTAAATATTTCTGTCGTAATCATACCCCCTTTTTATGCTCGGGTTATTGCGTTAGCTTCAATATTGTAACCCTTTTTGCATTTGGAGTTATCGGAGATTTGTTCGGTATTCGCTAATTTCGGCTATCTTTGGTGCTGTAGTAGTAGTGGTTAGCAGATTTAGTAGGGGGAATCTGCACATAGGCAAGCTATTTTCGTTTGCATGTTGTAAAGTTACATAAGCCCTATAACCACTCGAGGTTGCCTAAGCGATGAAACAATAACCTCCAAAGCGTCATCATTTAGAAGCTTCTTAAAACGGTAACCAAGTTAGTTTTGTTAGACAGACATACGATGCGAAACCTAAGTGGAAAGTTTGGCGAAGATGAGGTTCCACAACTTATCCTTGTTTTTTTTCCCTGTACCTAGGTTCTTGCGCTTTCGACGCACTCTTATGGTTGTCGGGTGATTCAACGTATTCTTCAATACTGCACACCAGAACAGGTGGATCCTATTTTTGAAGAGCTATATGCTTGCGCCAACTCTCTCTTCGAAGACCAATATGGAAACTATGTTATACAAGTGAATTTACTTGATCTCTTTTTGTTAAATTCTGATGACCATTGTTCGATTATGCGGTTTCATTACATATCACATCCTTATTATTGTTGGCATTCCAGCCATTCTCATCGTGTTATTTAATCATTTTGATTGGTTAATATGTGTATCAATAGTGTTAATTTGGTAGAATAATGCTCTGGTTTCAATATCGCATTTACTGAAGGCTAGGAGTGTCGAATCTGACAATCTGAAGGCCACGGAAGGGAATTATCGCTTATATTTTTTATTAATATATTTTACAGATTGGCTCTAATTAGGTAGATAACCCAGAAGTGTTGTTATAAAATTGGCTGGTTTTACCTACCCGTGTTTGTAGCCGCAGAACGCCTAGATTTCCCCCTGGTAATGAATGGTGTTAAAGTAGCAAATTAGACTGATAGAGAATTCACGTTAAATCCTCATTCTTATTATTATTTATTTATTATTTAGCATATACTAGAGAAGGGTACAAGAGATCAGAAGAGTCGCATAATTGGTCTTCTTAAAGGCCGTGTCGTCGCTCTTTCTATGCACAAGTTCGCTAGTAACGTCGTCGAGAAGGCCGTTTCGAACAGTACAACTCAGGAACGTCAGGAGCTGACCAGTGAAGTTCTTGTTGACAATAATCACCAACAGTGGAATTCAAGTGAATCTATGGAATGCAAGGACATGATAACAGCTACGGACAACTCAGTTCTGTGGAGTATGATGAAGGATCAATACGCCAATTATGTCATCCAAAAGATGCTTGAAGAGGCCGACTCCAAGTTGCGTCAAGAGTTGATGAAACGTATTCAACCCTATCTCAGTAGCCTACGTCAATTCAACTACGCTAAGCATATTATCAGTAAGGTGGAGAAGTACACATTGAGGACCTTTGGCAACTCCTCAGTTGATAATGTTGCAGCGATGCTTTCAAATGCTGATTTGAATTCGGACGTTCTTACTTCGGACGACGATGAGGAGATAAAAATAATAGGAGCTCAGCATCAAGAACTCGTCAAGGAAGACAGGAATGGGAATCCATGAGCTCCTAAAGCATAGGGAGGCGAGACAAATAAAATTCCGTATATCTCTACTTGATCATCCTTGCCATAATTGTATAGTAGCACCTTACTTTAGTCTCCCACCTTCTCCATCTTGTAATTGTACTTCCCAATTTCGGTAGTAGCAGTAGTGATGGCAGGATATTATATATGTATGTGAGTAGTGATTCGTTGTAAAGTAGTTTAATGTGTAATCATTCAACTTTCGATTTACCCCTTTCGCGTTTGTTTTCCTTCCCATGTTACATAAGTCCATACTCTTTTACATCTGCCCTCTTTTTTTCACCCTTATGTGGACAATATGTAAACAAGGGTATCTGCAATATTGACTGGACGAAATCTCCAACTTTGTCTCTACTGTGTATGGAGCACTGTGTATAATTTGTATGGATTCCTTTGTAAATCATCGGATACACCCGTGCACATGCATTCAAACACTGTGCTACATCATTGTGCTTTCTTATATTTATACCCCCTCCTTTGTCAATTTCCTTTCCTCTCATCTGTGCAAATTCGAACTTTCTATTCACCGTATATGAATATATTATAAGAAGACCAAGGCGTCAGGTTGGTATTTATTGCGTTTTATTTTGTCTTCAAGTCTATTCAGTTTTGATCGACTACCCTTTTGAGTTAAGCAAGTTATACTTGCTAGTCACTCCAGATTATTTTTCTCCAAGGTGGTGGTTCGAAGCCATCGATGGAATTTTGCTCAAATTCAGTTGGAAAAAGTTCAATTATTAGCCATTATTTCATTTACTGCTGTAGACATGAATGTCTGGCTCCAGTCCGGTTATGACCATGACATATCTTCTCTAGGAATAAACCTGGGGGGGAGGATTCTTTACATAATTCGGTGTCGAGCATGAAGACTTGCTGCCTTAGATTTGGGTCCACGTGTGTTCTTCGGAGTCAATGTCTGTCCTTTATTTTCAGTGAGCGATTTTATGAAAATGGCAGTTTGCATCTTTGACGCGATTTAAGAGATTACTATCTGGTCACTGCTTTCCTAGTTCCAATCTCCGGGCTTGTTTTAGTGGATTTCGAAATCATATCGCCTATGGTGAGGAAATTTAGCCGTTCGGTTGAACCGGGGCGCTTGTGTAAATGTGGCGCGTTGAATAGCAATTCCTTATAAACAGTTCCATACTTGTGGATGTGCCGACCACCAGAAAATGATGAAAGTGCGGACGCAATAAAAAGCAGATGATCAGGTACAAATAGATAGATTAGGGTGCGTCAATACATATTCCACGCTCCAAATCAGAGTAACGAGTCTTATAGATATGTGCAATTGAAGCCCATACTTAAAATTTAAATTTCTTACTTTGGGTTCTCCCATCTTACTCCCCCCCCCCACAACTGTGTGTAAAATTCACTCAAGCTAAACGATGTGGTATACTAAGTACGTGACCCAATCGTGTATTTTGATTTATTTGAAGGTGGAGACTTTGAGAATGCTTCTATCGTGCGAGTGGTGAGGAAGTGTTTAGGGATTGTCAATGAGTATGAAGGGGGTTGGTACGTTACTTGATATTGCCACTTAGAATTGGGATGGGCCGTTTTTTTAATCTTAAGGAGATCTTTGTTGTGTTTAGACAGTAAACTGTTTAAAGCACGGTACTGAACATTGCTGACACATTTTCTGCAGTCTCGTGGATGTTTTGGGAAACTCGAGCTACCTGTTTAGTGAATATCGTAGAACTCAAATCGAAACAAAGCAAAGCTATATCGCTGGATATCTTGGCGTTGTCCTCGATGTCTTTTACAACCCTATCGACAATTCATCATTTGAAAATACCAACAAAAACATTTAAAAAAATTCAATATACCTTAATATTGACACTTTAAATTAGGCAAAAGTTTACACTATCTTAGCCATAAACTTTACACTAAGTAAAAATATCTACTTTTGATTCCTTTGGGGTGGTCTAGTCTTAATTGGGGAGGTCTCAATTCTGTTTTTTTTCATAACCGGAATAGTTGTGACACCTTCATATTAATACATTCTGAACACAGTTAGGTGAAATTGGAATGCTTGTGCACCACCCCCCCCCCC